GGTCACATCAAAGGTTCCCAGGTCAATCTCCGCTTCCGTTTGAGTAGCAGTTGAACCGTTGGCGGTGTGGAACATGATAGGATCACAAGTTCGTTGCTTCAGGTTCATCCTTTCGGCTTTCCTTGCAGAAATCAGATCGTGTCCGCTGCCAGAATCCAGGATGAATCTACGATCTTTGGCTTGTACTGGTAATGAAATGCACATCATGTTCTTGGACTTTATGAGGGATTTTCCAACTTCGTGTTCAACAAGCTCTTCAATGAAAGTCAAGTCATCACGATCATCGTCCAGCTTGATCAACATGTCGAACTTAGGGCCGATGATGATTCTAACTTCATCAACAAAACGATGGAGTCCGCATCTGTCCATGATGATTGCTTTGGCCCGTGCTCGGACTGAACCAAGTGTGTTGTCGGACTTGGACTGATCGTCGGTCAAATCATCGACCTTCCAGAAGACATACTGCTTGTTGGGGTCACGATACATACGTTTGGGTAGTCCCTCTTGGTAGTTCTCAATTGCAATCTCGTGCACTTCAGGTTCCAGATCAAATGAGATTCTGCGAACATCAGAAGACTTCTTTGCGCTGGCTATCCTCGGTGAGGTATAATCCATAGAATCTTCATTGTCGCTGTCAAAGAAGGAGTCAATGGTAATGGGAGTCGCTTTCTTCTTTGGTGTCTTCTTGCTGGTTCTTTCTGAGGATGCTGAAGGCGATTGGTCTGCATGTAGGAATTTACATTTGCTCCCAAACGTGCAGGTACCCTTCTGCCAATTCCAACATACCTTCTTTTTGGGTCCAGCTGAAGATGAACTTCCTTTACTCTTTCCCCTTGATGAATCTCGACTTCCACTTCTGCCTTTCTTACCTTTCATCTTGGCATCATAGACCTTCTGAGAATGACTGTAAAGACATTTGTCACCTTTGTTGCATCCTCCTTTATTGAAGAAGTAGTTACAGAAAATCTTCTTCTTGTCAACGGGTGAAGATGATCTTCCCTTCCCACCTTTGCCTTTCTTGTTGTTCTTGTCGGCATGAGATTTCGGAGAAGGTGTAGGAAGTACAGATGCAGCTTCACTCTTCGCTTTCGCCTTAGGCCGTTTGGGAGGATCACCTGTAGACGATGCAGCTGCTTCATTCTCCTTCTTGGTCTTGACGGGAGCGGCAGGCTTGTCTGCATCTTCTAAGGCAGGTGTCGTCTTGTTAGAGGACAATGACAGTTTCACTGCACGTTCTCTATCTTTCAACAGTCGTTCTTGCTTTCCTCTTGCTATGTATCCTTTGATCATGCCGGTCAGGGATTCATAGGTCTTTTCAGGATGCCCTTCATCGTAGGTACGGTATCGGCTGATATCAAAAGACATAAGCTTTGAGTGTTCAATCTTCCGGAACAATGTGTCACGCAGGGAATTTGCAGAAGGCAGATCATCATGTTTCATGTTATATACGATGTCAAGCCACTTGTTGTAGAAGGCCTCAAGCTGGTCATCTCCATAGTAGTTGAACATATACAAATGATGGGCGTTGTAGAGAACTTCAGTATGGTCAGGTGACTTGAAGCTAATCAGTATCATTGCGAATAGTTCTCGTCCCTTGATGAAGTCCCCACTTCTCCCATACAATTGATTCTTCATGGACATGTCATACTTCACTTGCATGGACTTGTCCCCAGCATTGTCAATGACTTTCCTCAAGGCATTGGAGAGCTTGGCATCAATGGATTGGAATCTCACATCGGGTGCTTTGGCCAGGACCTCCAAGTCAGGTTGATCTGCAAGACACGGAGCTAGCCACGCTTTCCAATCTTCATAGTTTCGATCTCCACTTGCAACACAAACTTCATGAACGACACTTCCCTTCCAGGATGAAAGTTCAGTGGTCTTAGGCCAGGGTTGGAGGCTGATCTTTTCGGCTTCTCTTAGAGATACGGATGACTTGGATCTATCCCTTTCAAGGTTCTCCAACTCCTTGACATTGGTGTTGTACTCGTTCCTGAGCTTTTCGAAGGCTTCAGCTTCTGCTCGGTATTCCTGCTCTTCATCGTTGGCGCGATCTTCAGCTTGAGAGAAATTGTTCTTGTAGTAATCTTTCCGATCTTCCATCTTCTTCAACTCATCTTGAAGATTTCGAACTTCATTGTTCTTCTCTTGCTTCATCTCGTCCAACTCTGCTTTCAGTTTGGCACACTTCTCTTCACATTCATTCCGAGGCATAGCATTACTGGGGTACCCATGTAATGTAGTCGGTCTATTCTTTGATGAAGAAGAATGAGCTTGATTTTCCAACTTCAGGGCAGCAATAGTGCTCGACATCTCTTCTACCTCAGCGAAACGCTCATTGGCCAATTGATGCATCTCAGTCAAGTGGCTTTCAGGAATGGAATAGTCAGTCGCACCTTTGATCACGAGTCTTCTGTCGTTCAACATCTTGATGGACTTACCTGCATCCCTGTGAGCACGCTCAAGAGAATCCTTTTGGGCTTCAAGTTCAGTATGAAGGTGAGCAATAGCTGTGTCCCTGTCATTGATTTCATTGTGCAAACTGTCGAACAAATCACTCGTCACATTCGGATTGTTGCTCATGTGATCGATCTTGTTCAGAGCATCTTGATATTTCTTACCAGTTTCATCGAAGTTTCGCTGGAAGACTTTGAGCAGGTCCTCAGTGTCAATGAGTTCAGTTCTGTTCTGCAAGTACAACTTGTCAACTTCAGCCTTGGATTCTTTCAAGCTGTCACGCTCACGCACGGCCTGCATATACATCTCGTATAGTGGTCCTCCATGCGGTGATCTGCTTGGAGAGGATCTTCTGGCTTGTTGACAGGAAAGTTCATGATACTGATTCTTCGATTCAGTCAGTTGTTGTTGCATTCGATCTAAAAGACTTTGTTTCATGTGTAGTTCAGAACGTAGTCCCATTATCCTCATGTCCCGCATGCCGCCTGATTCAGCTAGAGATTCTTCAGAAACCCTGTTCTCAGAAATCGCTAGTCGAGATTGTAAGTTTTCATTGTGGATCACCTGCAATCGAAGTTGCGATTCTTCCAAAGCTAAGTGATGTTCACATTCTGCATAACGGTCATGTTCAGATCTTATGTTACTACGGAACTCCTTCATGATTTCGTCCCTCTTCATGTCAGCAGCATCAAGTTCAGTTTCCAGTCGTCTAACGTTCATGGACATGGTGTGCTTCATTGTCTGATTTTGATTGGCAACCTCGAGCATCTCGATCTGTAAAGCACATGTTTGATCATTGGCGTAGCCGACCGCTAGAGCTTCCTGCTTGGCATTCATCTCTGCGTTTTCCAGTTCCAGTCTAAGTTGATTGATGTGAGCGTTCGCATCGGCGCCCACATGTACCATAATTGCGCTCGCTTGTCCCATTTGTTCATCGAATTCCGAACGTAGTCGTGAATATTTGAATTCCAAATGAGATGCAGCTTCATTCGACATAGTCTGATACCTTTCCAACTCTTCGATCCTGTAGGTCGCACCTTCATCTTCTTGTTGTGCAGCCTGTAACTCGAAGTTCAGCATCTGGAGTTGTTCGGTCATCGACATCATCTCTTGATGAGTGGTGCTTTCCAGGAAATTAAATTGTTGATAGGCATAAGCTGTCGTCTCGGTCAATCTTGCCTGAAGTACGGATTCTTCTTCAGTGGCCTTTTCCAGTGATGTCTTGTATTCAGCTAATTCACTCTGATAGGCAGTGAAGATGTCGCTACCACTCGATGGGGCGTTCACTTGCTGATAAGATCCTGTCCCTGATGGAGTAGCGTCCTGAATCGGTGAAGGCGGATTCGACGACGTAGTCTTTGCCTTAGTCCTTGGAGTCATCGGAGGCGACAATTGTCGTGCAGATGATCTTCTCTTTCCAGGTGTGCTGTCCCTATCTTCAATTGCTTGCATTGTCGAAATTTGTCTCCCTCTAGGAGCAACCAGAGGTCGCCTGGGTAGGCTTGTTCTCAGTTCTGAGGCATCGCTTCCGCCAGTGTCGATACTCTGTGAAGAATTTGACTGCGTGCCGGCAGCTGGTGCAACGGCATGTCCAGAGAAAGAAAATGCATTATCGCTGCTATCCTGTTCAGTCATCTGTAAGGCCCGCGGCTACCCGCTCGTAGGCTTCGTAGGAGTCCTACGGCTGATAACCTGCGAATCGGGGATTGCCTGTCCGATTATGTTCCGGTAGTTGGGTTTGAAGTAAATGCTCCAATGATGACGTTACACGGGCGGCAGCTTCCGCATGGCAGTTCTTTGTTCTGGTGCTGCAGTGGGTCTTGAGCCAAAGAGGCCAGTTTGATATACCCCTTTGGCATTGGATCCTAGAGTGTCGAATTATATGTGAATATACAATCGTACGTAGCCTACACTCTATTCGCAAAAACTGACATATTACACCAAAAGATGCAGGTCAAGAAGTTAAGAATGGCCCGGAAATTCAATCGGCATTCTTTGTGGTTTGCTCGTGTTTGTTCCACAACTTGGTCCCTCCCTCAAAAAAGCAGGACGGCAAACCAACCACATACTCGCAACTTGGACCGGTCGTACTTCGCCATAGTTCAACTAGGGCAGGTGATCTGCAGCTTGTGCATCTGGTTTTGCCTTGATGGATAGCAGCATAGACGCGCAATTTATTTGAAAGCCTACCTTGGAACCAATCAATTGTTCCTGCTTTATCTTTCCAAGACGCTGCCAAGACTTTGAAGGCTTGGACTTGTTCTCGTCAACACACACTCAGACTGTCTATCACAAGGGTGCAAAAGGGAAACAATGGAAATAAATTGGAGGATAGATCAAACATGCTTCCTGGTGTGGTGTTTGGCATGTGTTTCTCGAGCTCTCACTTACACGTCTCAAACCTTTGAAGCCCAGGCGCTGGGCGTCGCATCGGTCTTATCGAGGCTTGCGTTCAAAGCTGCAAGCTGCACGCGACCCGGTAAAATGATGGAGCACTGCGACAGCTGGCTGAGTGTGGGGTTCGAAGCCATCCGGTTCCCATCATGGAAGTCGGCCCCAACGATGTTGATGAAATTCAGGATGGTCACCACATCCTCAAATATGGAGCTGCCCTCTGACGTTTAAGGGCCTACTTAGCCCTTCCCCTCGCTGATAAAAAAACTATGTCACATCGAGCTTCGTAGGAATTCATGGTCCCAATCTTCCTGCGCAGATAAGCGCTTTCAAGTTCCAGGAGCCCCTGCGCACCTTACGAACTGAAGGAGTGACTTCAATCTGGCATGGCCGGGTGACAAGTTTCATCAAAGCAGTCAGTGGCATGTTCGCCGAGTCCCAGATCTTCGGCAGGAGCGCTAAGCTGGCCCTGAAGGCTATTGGAGCTCCAGCGATCAGGGGCCTACCTTGCCAGCCTTTGACTGACGATGCGCGCTTTGGACTGGAATGGGTGCTGAAGCGGCTTGTTGAAGCCCCACCGAGAGAGATCCGTGCACGTGCAAGGGTTTCAGAAACGCTTTTGCTTTTCATAGACGGAGCTTGTGAGCCAGCGGCTGACAATTGGTGCAGTGCTGTTAGACAGCTCTGGGGGCGGCGCGGCTTGAAGTTCTTTGGTTTGAGACTTCCAGACGAAGTCACTGCAGTCTGGTGGCGGTGTTAAACAGAACCTGGTCTTTGAGGCTGAAGTATTACCGTGCAACTTAGCCTTGTCTTGCTGGGGTGGATTGCTGCGTGACCGCCATGTACTTGTCTTCATTGACAACGATGGTGCAAGGCACAGCTGGATAAAGGGGTCAGCTGACTCCAGGCATGCTAGACGGATGAGCCACCAAGGTACTTTGCCGGAGTCGGACCTGAACACCACTCCATACTTCTGCATGGTTCCAACCACCAGCAATTTGGCCGATGGGCCGTCGAGACTTGACTTCGGAGTTTGCTTGCAGCTTGGTGCCGAGGAAACAGCCGTTGACTTTGCTGTCCTCCGCGAATGTGCTTTGGCAGGTCGGTCAGGTGATGGATGATCACTTGGGATGTGGATGGCACCTGGCATTTACCCCGACCTATTCAAAGCATTGGAAGAAAAATAGGCACCGGCGTGAGCGATCCAGTGTTGTCAAGTTGTCGGGTTCGTCGGGTTCGTGATGTCGAAAGTGATATTCTGTTTTGCTTTTTATGTTTTTCCGCACAGCAGTTTAAGCATGACGGTAAAGTGCTGGTTCAATTCTTTTGGGTATCCGCATAGATCGCTTGGGGACCACAGGTGTGAGGTGCTTGTTGGTGTGTGTTTTTCATGTCCACACATCCTGTTTTGCTTATGTTGTGAGTGCAAAGAGCTGTCATGAGTCTGTGGCAAGATAAGCGATGTTCTACTTTAGATAATGCTTCATCTGTGAACAGACTTCGGTAGGTGTAGTTGCAACATGTTGCAACCCCACCCTCTGCTCTTTGCGTCCTCTTCTCTCGCTCCTCCGCGTGTTGCTTGCTCGCGCTCTCCTCTGTTGCACCTCGTGTCCCTGGCGTTAACGTGGGTCTGATGTTCAGGCCGGTCGGGTGTGATCAAACCTGTGGTTTGATTTATGTTTTGGTTGCACGTAGCCCCTGGGGTTAAAGGGCATCCTGAACCCGGCTGCATTTTACCGTGAATTTCTCGCGCAATTTGTTTTTTATTTTAACCGGGTTTTCTGAGTTGAGATGTTTTGTCAATGTCCTGACCTGTGGTTTGGCGTGAACGGTCAAGTTGTTTGGTTAAACGCGAAACGGAACATCGTCAACCAGAAACCTCTTGACAAAAGACTTGTGGGAACACACTTGAATTGTTTGGTATGTTGTGCCCTTTTGGGTCAAGTGTGTTGGGAGCGTTATGTGCTCCCACCCTGTTGTCCCACCCCGCACTAACTTTCACAGTCTTTTGTACATGTCGGGCACATGTGTGCTGCCGTCGACACCCTTTTTGTGGCCAAACCCTAGCCGTCTGTGGATGGCACCTGGCATTTACCCCGACCTATTCAAAGCATTGGAAGAAAAATGGGCACCGGCGTGAGCGATCCAGTGTTGTCAAGTTGTCGGGTTCGTCGGGTTCGTGATGTCGAAAGTGATATTCTGTTTTGCTTTTTATGTTTTTCCGCGCAGCAGTTTAAACATGACGGTAAAGTGCTGGTTCAATTTTTTTGGGTATCCGCATAGATCGCTTGGGGACCACAGGTGTGAGGTGCTTGTTGGTGTGTGTTTTTCATGTCCACACATCCTGTTTTGCTTATGTTGTGAGTGCAAAGAGCTGTCATGAGTCTGTGGAAAAATAACAATTCTCAACGAAACTAGTTGTATTTCAAGCCCAAACATTTTCTTTCAATCCACTTTGCAGATTATGTTCAAAGAATAGTCCTCAAGATTTGGTTGCTCAAGTTGACCTCAGGGCATCGACCTGCACAGTTCCACAAAGAAAATGCAGCTCTTTGCAACACAGTTGAACTGCACAGTTTGCCGCTGGTGTTGCTCTGATTGCTGCAGTGCATGACAAGTAATACCCTGGGACCCCATGACTGTGCGAAGTCTACTGTACCATTTTGGCTCGGAGATAGAAGCAAATAGAGGTTGGCAAAGACAACATAACCATACTCATGATTATCGTGAGGCTACCTATCATCATGTAGTCATGTAGTTAGTTCCTCAATCCGGTTGTTCTGATATATAGTTTCCAGCAGTTTGCTGCTGGTGACTTGCAGCAGCACAACATGGACAAAACCGCGTCCCAGTTTCAGAACTTCAAGGTGCACCTGTGTGTCTGCATTGTTGATTGGGGAACAGATATATGGAGAGACAGACATGCTGCTTTTTATCTACCTTCATATGCTATGGATTTACAGAATATATGATATATACGCCGTTCTGGATGGATATATATAAATATATTTATATATGTACAGATAAATATTATTTATGTATTTATGTATTTATTTATTTACTGATTTATTAATTAATTTATTTATATATATATATATTCATTATCATAACACAACATGTATAAACACTAACACTATGTAATTTTAGATGCTGTTTTCAACAAGCGTCCTGTGGTGCAACCTTTTTTTCCAGAGATGGCTGCGGCCCGCAATTTGAGGTGCAGCTTCTTCCTTCATGGACTGTGAAGAATACGCAACTTGGTACTGCAGTGAAAACGAAGACATGTTTCCTCCACTTCCACCAGGACTAGACCGACCCATGACTTTCTCTTCACTATCTCTTCCCTTGGCCTGACTTCGCCTTTGGTCATCTCGGTCGGGTTTGGCCGGACATGACTGAACAGCTGAAGCCTCCACAGTTCCAACTCTTTCGCCTGCCCAGGTTCATCAATGCTCCGGAGGAGAATGTGTCCAGCGATGAAGAGTTTTACACACCTTACAAAAGGTGCAACGAATCCTCACCTGCGGTTCTTCAGGACAGCCATAGTCTTCGGTGTTGCAAAGATCTCTTGGAAATGCCTGTCTACAATGCTGCACTATGCTGCACGAACCTATCCGTAACTAGCCTTTCTCTGTCTCTCCAAGACAGGAGCCGGCGTACGCAGGGACCGAAAGTGTCGCTGATCCTTGGATCAACGAGTGAGCAACGCACTTCGATTCACAAATCAGTTTATTCTGAATTGGATGCATTTTTGAATATCGATGCATGTAATTTTTGCAGGGCCAAGCAACACTGAAACACCTGCAACTGAGTCATGCTGTCATGGTTGGTTTTCAGAATGGTTTGTAGCCGGTGAGCCAATTACTTGCAAAGGCAATCTCTTGCAATTGCTATCAGATTTCACAAGTATATGCTTACAGAAACCTGACTCCGTCTAAGGAAGAAGGACCTCCAAGGAGCTTGCTTTGTGCCGCCAGAATTTTTCCAAGATGGCCCAGGGTTACCGGACTTTGCACATCGCACCTTTCGCATCCCAAATCACTTTCAGCAGGATGGGAGTTGCCCAAGGACAGTCCTCCAAGGTGGGCTTCCTGCGAGAAACCACACAGTGCAGCACGTTTTTTGTAGCTGACAGGAAGTCGAAGTGCAGAAGAACCCGCCACTTGGATCTGCTTTCTCCACTGCCATTGCTGCCATTGCTGCACATGCATATAGCAGAATGTTGAAGCCTCCCTTGGGTATTGTGCAGCTGTCAATGAAGAAACTGGTGAAAAAGACAATTATTGCCAGTTGTTGCTGATCATTCATGATCATGAGTGATGGATGGTCATTGCATATGAAGTCAAACCCAAGGTCGTGTTTGGATGACCTAGAGCCACGACCTGTGATTGAGCCAAGGAAGAGTAAGGGCGGCGCAAAGCATCCCGACACCTGTAAGGCGGGGCAAGGATGATGTGCTGGAGAAAGGTCCAACTTAGCATCCACTATAATAGCAATGATAGCAGCTACCTGGAGCATGAACAAAATCCACAAAGCAGATAATTATAGCCATCATAGCATTATAGCATTAGTTTCTGTGGAACTACTCTTACCTTTATGTTTTGACTAAATTGGACAGGGGAATGATACGTTTCTATGACACTGTGCGCCAGGAGTGTGTCTTCTACTTCTTCAGTGCTACTGGATGCACAAAAGGTGCAGATTGCCTCTTCTGTCACGAATTCCACCCAAGGACTGCTCGATGTTACATTTGCTTCGGTTCTAAGGCATTCTGGTGCTCGGGCGCACTTTTTTTGCCAGGAAAAACGGCAAGAAGAATCGTCGCATCATGCGCGATCTGCAAACTCGCCACATGGCTAAATTCTAAAACGCACCACACCAAAGGATCCAAAGGCACAGCTGTGGTACAGCACCTCCGCACCAGAATTAAAAGTGCACAGCTGGTGAGACTATGTGATCTATGTGGCATTCTTGAAATGTTCAAGTGACTCAGGTTTACTCAAGTGACTCAAGTTCCGAATCACACCCTTCACGTCCCTGTGAGGTGAATCTCACGACGATGGTAAGGAAGGCAAGGACGTTTTGAAAGACGTCTGCAAGGAGATCGAAGAGTTGCCACCATCGAAGCCAGAGGCGATCCACCCTGGGATGATTGAAACATTTTGTGGAAACATGCATCGGGATACATCGAGTAGAGGTAAATTGTGTTAAGTGCCCTTAAGCTTCTCTTAGGTTATATAATAACCATATGGAGACACAGGCATGCTGCTCTTTATCTACCTTCATATTCTATGGATGTACAGAATATACTATGTTATATATATTCTATTACATTATATTATATTTTATTATATTATATGATATTATACTATATTATACTATATTATACTATATTATATTATATTATATTATATTATATTATTGTAGAGATGTAGCGCCTAGTACAGTCATGTCTGTTTGTGCTATGGCTTGCATGTTGTATATGTGCCGTAGCCCCTTTTAGATTCTTTGTGAGAAAGACTGAACGACTTCGAGCCCAATACATGAAAAGTGATCAGCACGCTGTGTTGGTGCTTACCCACTGCTACTTTAATTTTGCATGGTAGCGGAGCCCTTGGGCTCTGACTCTGGGGAATCAGACTTTTGGGTGAACCATCTGCATCAAGGGCAGGCAAGTGCTGACTCAGCACAGCCTAGTGCCTTAGACTGGACTTGGGTAAGGCTGGTGAAAAGGATTCTCAACTTGAGACACCTGCAAAGTGTATTTGCCAACGTTGGGCAGTACCTGAGGAACTATCCAAGGACACTGTTGGATAGGACAACAAGGAATTCCCCCAATCAGCAATGAGTGGGCCAGGAAGTCCAAGAGGAAGCCCAAGTGGGGCAACAGGGGCTGGAGCAGAACAAGTCTTTGCGCAGTTGCTGCTGCAGTTGCAGCAAGGGCAAGCGCAGATTGCCAGGGAGACAAGAGATTGTCTACAGAAGCTGGCAGAAGGATTCCAGAAATCTTCAACTCGACCAGGGATTGTTGATGTGAAAGGGATTGGAAAGCCTGATAACTTCAAAGGTAGTCATGAGGAAGTTCAGAAGCAATGGAAGCCCTGGAGTTACAAGTTCGAAACGTGGTTCTGCAGCCAATGGCCTACAGGTCAACAAGCTTTGGACTATGCCAGAGGAAAGGGTGACGACCCTGTCACCGCTGTAGATCTCTTGAACCACACCCTGCAGGACATCGATGCCATTGATGCACACCTTCATGTAGCCCTGGTTTCCTTGACTCAGGGGATGGCATATGATGTCGTCTACAATTCCCGTAAAAAGTGCGGGCTTGATGCTTGGAGGAGACTGTGTGTCACCTATGAACCTCAAAACAATCGTACAAACATCAGATTGCTGAGGAGAATCCTTAGCCCTTCAAGGTCAACCATGTCAACCATGAGAAGTAGTTTAGACCATTTTGAGTCCGACATCGTGGAGTATGAGTCAAAGGGACAAGCAAAACCATCAGACGAAACTCTTCGAGCAGTACTGTTGGCTATGGTGCCAGAAAATCTTGAAGAACATCTTGAACTCAACATCCAGAGGTTTGACACTTACTCCAAAATGCGTAGTGAGGTGATCTCATTCCTGGAGCAAAAGGCGTCTAAGTCAATGGTAGATGATGGTGGAGCTGCACCTATGGATTTGGACTATGTTCAAGGCAAAGGCAAAGGTAAGAGTACCAAGACATGTTACACATGTGGAAAAGTTGGTCATGTTTCCAAAGACTGTTGGCATGGCAAGTCAAAGGGTACTTCATCTTCGTCCACTAGCAAGGGCTCAAGCTCAAAAGGCTCATCTACTGGTAAGGGGACCAAGGGTTCAAAGGTATCTGCAAAAGGAAAAGGCAAATCATCCAAAGGAAAAGGCAAAAGCAAAATGGGATCCAAATCTGGAAAGCAATACACCGTTGAGAACCAAGAGGACACTCAGCAGTGGTCTGAAGAACCTGAGGCAGAAGGTCAGGAGACTTGGAATGAAGAAGCTTGGCCAAATCAAGATGGCCAATGGGAAGAGCAAACTGGTGAGCAAGGTGCCATCTGTGTTGCCAGTGCTGATTCAGCACAGCAAGCACCCAGGCAGAGGCCACTCACCAAGTATGAGAAGGCGTTGGAAGGAGAGCAGAAGGAGTTCATGGAAGGAAAGATTTGGAAGCGCCCTGAAGTGTTCTGGAATATGCCTTTCAGGTTGGTTTGCAATCAAAGCTGCTATGAGGGCAAGTTCTACTGTGGATACCAGCGCTGCAAACACAAAGGCTTCACTTCCCCATCTCAATTCAATCAACATCTCTGTTCAAAGGTTGGCACTCGTGGACATCCAGACCAAGAGCAAATCAATGCTTGGGAGAAGGACCCCTATGTGGTGCCAGAAGGACGCAGGCACTATGGACTTTGGGATCCAGAGACTGGCAACATGTTGAATGCCAAGGTCGACGCCTGGGACTCTGAACCTCTGAGAGTAGCCATCGAGAAGAGTAAGGAGAGACTGAGGTTGGAGCTCTCTGCAAAGAAGCCACCTGCTCAGGAGGAAGCCACTGAGGTCGAGAAGAAGGAGACGGTGCTGTTGAAAGCAAAGCCCAAGTGCAAGCCAGAGAAGTTTGGAACAAAGCATGTGGAGAATGTTGACGACTCTTCTGAATACACCATCGATTCAGAAGACATTGAAGAAGGTGAGCCTGAAGCTTTTGAAGTGAAAGATGAAAAAGTGAAGATTCCTGAGGAGGATCCTGAGGAGAAACCTGAGGAGACTGCAGAGGACTTGGAAGCTTTGAGAGAAGAGAAGGGTCAAGACCTTGCAAAGAAAGACATCAAAGCTTTGGAGAAGAAGAAGCTTGAGGAGAAAAAGGCATTGAAGAAGAAACCTGTGGGATTCACACCTGGCGCTTTGATCATGCAGAAGCTCGAGGAGGTCAAGTCCATTGAAGGAACTTTGGTACTTCTGGATCGTGACCATCCAGCACGCAAAGCTTTGGAGGAGACCATCGCCCAGAAGAAGGAGGAGATGAAGAAGATCCAAGCTGAGAGACAGAAGGCACGTGGTCAGAAGCATTCTGTCAGGCAGGAGATGGACAAGAAAGAAGCTGGTCCTAGAGTTGCCTACATCGAGGAGAGGCAGAGGAAGAGAGCTGCTGAGCACAGGAAGTCAGGCTTCAAGGAAAGAGCTATTGCCAATGTGGCAAAGCAAGAGGAGGCTGAAAGACGCTTCAACCAACCAGACTCTGGGAAGAAGGTGAGGGCATTTCCCTTGGCTGAAGGGGAGTTGTCAAAAGAAGTTCAAGCTGCGCCTATGAGTAAGAGGGAGAAGACCTTCATCAAGGACGAGCAGGATGAGGAATATCCTGAAGTCAAGCGCAGGAGTATGGAACTTCCACCCAGTGAGAAGAGAAGGTTGGAAGAGAAGAAGGCCAAGTTCAAGGAGGACAAGGCTTCGAAGAAGAACAAGAGACCTTCTAGCTCAACATCACCTTCTTGACTTTCTTCAGAAGATGCAGGTCCCATGCGTCCTTTTGCAATCCTCAATGGCCCTGCAACTCTTCGATCATCAAAGTTGATCTTGGGCCTCTTTGGGGTCTCTTCCAAGTTCTCCTCTTTCTCCTCGGCCTCTTTCTTCTTTGGACCTTCTTCTGGAGATTTAGGCTGTTCTGAGCCACGGCCAGCTCCCATTGATCGTGCTTCCAATAGGACTGCTTGTCCCAACTGCCTTTTCACTTGCTGGACCAACCCTTTGATGATCCACCATAGTACTTGGAAGTGTAAGCCTTTGACTTGCTATCTTGGTGTGCTGAACCAGCGCTATGAGATGCTTGTTCTGGTGGCCTCCCAACTTCAGCCAACAAGGCTTGAACATCTGCGTCATCTTCATCCTCAGGATTTGCAATGGGCGCTTCTTCTTCTTCTTCTTCCTCCTGCTTCTTCTTCTTCTTCTTCTTGGCGCTTTCCTCCTTGAGATCTTTGAGAAGCTGATCTTCTTTCCTCACTGAAAGCTGAAACGCCCAATGAGGAGGACGATGAGATGAACCCTGAAGAAGGTGGAGAAGGTCAAAGTGGAGAGTTGAATAGCTTTGGACCCCCCAGCAAGTTGCCACCAAGACGTGATGGACCAGAAGGAAACAACTGGTGCCGTGTGGACTTCATCGTGGACAGTGGTGCATCAGACAGCACCCTTCCTGTGGGTGTACTTCCAGGAATTCCAATGAAGCCACCACACGGCTTCAAGGACTTTGCACTTGCGGACGGACGTATTATCCCAAACTTGGGACAGAAGGTTGTTCAAATGGCATTTCAATGTGGGCTGGTGCTGACTGGAACATTTTCAGTGGTGTACAGCGCAAAGCCACTACTCAGTGTGGGCAAGATGACAAACTTGGGACACACTGTGAATATGACACCAGAAGGTGGCCAGATCATCTTGAAGAATGGCAAGTCCACCAAGATCTACTTCAGGAATGGTGTTTGAAGATTCCAACTTGGATTTGGTGTCCAGGTGATGGGAAGGAGGATGCAAGTTTTCAAAGGCAGGGAGAGCTGTAAGACCTTTGGGTCAAGCGCTAGCTGAAGAAGATGCTGGAGCTTCAGCCAAGCCATTGCCAATTCCAGCAAGGCCTACACCAGAGATGGTAAAGTCCCATGAGGTTTGCCATGTACCATTTAGGTCATGGTGCAGTCACTGTGTCAGAGGACGTGGTAAATCGTTCTCCCACAAAGCAGTTGACCACAGTCAGGATGATGAAGGTCGTCCTGTTGTATCACTAGACTATGGTTTCTTTGGTTCGCCTGGAGAACTACCGGCTGATGCTGTTGGTGGACAAAAGATGCCAGTTTTGGTTGTGCGTGACCGTTTCACCAAAGCAATCTTTTCACATTTGGTTCCTGCCAAAGGCACAGAACACTACTACCCTACTACCCTGAAGTTGCGCTCTTGAGGGACATCAATTTTCTTGGTTACACTTCTTTGACTTTGAAATCAGATCAAGAGCCATCTATCATCGCTTTGGCTACTGCAGTCAAGAACACTTTGTCATCACAAGGAATTTCAGTGCAGTTGGAGAACAGCCCAAAAGGAGATAGCCATGGTATGTCAAACGGTGAAGCTGAATCATCTGTGGGAATTACAGAAGGTTTAGCCAGAGCTCTCAAGGACCATGTTGAACACAAAGTTGGACAACAGTTGGACCCAAGATCACCTATCTTGGGATGGTTGATGGCACGTTGTACACTTTATTTTCATTTGATGAGAAAGCTCGAGATGGTTTGACAGCGTTCAGACGCATCAAGGGTCGTGATTGGACAGTTGCACTTCCAGCTTTTGGTGAATGTGTGGACTATCGAGTCAAAACCAACCACAAGTTGGAGCCGCGTTGGGAATCTGGTATTTTTCTTGGAGTACGACTTCACACTACTGAGAAGATCATTGGAACCCCCAAAGGAGTTGTTGTTGTACAATCAGTGAGACACAAACCGGGTGATCAACAGTGGAATTTGCAGCTACTTTAATCAATTACTGGTACACCATGGGCCCCCAATCCAGCAAAGCAGAAAGAGCCAAGAGAGGCACTGGAACTTCCAGAGCCAGTGTCCATTGAGCCAGAACAGCCAGAGGAAGAAGTCAGACAAGTTGAAACCAGTGAATTGAAACCTCATTTCAGACGTGTTTATCCTCGACAAGATGATTTTGATAAGTTTGGTTATAGTGCTGGTTGCAAAGCTTGTGCTCTTATACGCTTTGGCCTAGATCGACAAGGAGTCAGTCATGCAGAGGATTGTCGTTTGAGGATAGAGGTTGCAAGAGATTGCGGATGGACGTAGGAGAATGGAAATTGCAGCCGAAGGAGAAGAGGAAGCCAAGCAAGATGCTTCAAAGAGACAAAGATTGGCTATTCAAGATGTTGGTGTTGAGCGAGCATCTGGACCTTCAAGTGGGTCAGGAATCAAGAGACCTGCAGAGGATCCACCACAGGATCCTAGGCTCGAAACCCCTGAGCAGCCGGGAGGCAGTGTTGCTTCAACACGCCAGCCTGGAACAAAGAGGGATGTAGAGCAAGCTGGTCTGAGCTCTGATCCAATGGAAGACGTTGAAACTTCCCTTACAAACGTTTTACTTTCTCAAAGGCAAGGTTTTCTAGGAGCTGTTTATGCACAAGTTGAACAGTCACCTGAAACACTACCTGTTTGCGAAGAACACTTTGAGATTGACCCAGACGAACCACTCTACTGGGACAACGTTTCGGGAAAGCCACTAGACACCGCAAAGGTCCAGGAGGCACGTCGAGAAGAATGCCAAGTGATTGATGCTATGGGTGTTTGGGAGGTCATCGACAGACCTGCCAATGAGCGAGTCATTTCCACGCGTTGGGTGGATGTGAACAAAGGGGATGAGACACATCCCAAATATCGCCCAAGATTCGTGGCAAGAGAATTGAAACTGGAGTAATTTCTTTGCTTCGAGCCCTGCTCGCAGAAGATTGTTGGTTGAACTCCCAAGTGGAATGGGATATCCACCTGGCAAAGTGGGTTTGTTGCGGAGATCTCTTTATGGAACCCGCGACGCCCCAGCCAACTGGGAGGGAGCAATCAAAGCAGTGATGATGTTAATTGGTTTTCAGCAAGCCAAAAGCAACTCATGTTTGTACTACCACGCCGAAAAGCAAATTCGCATCGAGGTGCACGGTGACGATTTCACCGGAGTAGGACCGAAAGCAGAGTTAGAATGGTTTGCCGCTGAACTTCGCAAACACTGGACGATCGATGTTCGAGGTATTTTGGGACCCCCATCTATGAAGGATGTGGATCACTCAATTGTTATCTTGAATCGTTTGGTGACGTGGACAGATAAGGGCATTGAAATGGAAGCCGATCCGAGACATGTGGACCTACTTCTTCAAGAAGTTGTTTGTGAAGGATCGAAGGTAACAACGCCTTTGATCAAAGAGCGGATCGAAGAGGCCTTGACTTCGGAGGAGTTGGACGAAGAGACTGCCGCGATGTATCGTTCTGCAAGTATGAGGTTGGTGTATCTTTCGCAAGATCGACCTGATCTGTTGGTTCTTGGAAAAGAACTAGCGAAGGGTTTCAAGCGACCGACTCGAGCACATTTGCAGATGTTGAAACGTGGAGTTCGCTATCTTCGTTCGCATCCGAGAATGATACACCTGTTTCAGAACCAGAAGCAATTTACTTCACTGGAACTTTGGGTCGATGCCGACCATGCAGGATGTATTAGATCTAGGAAGTCAACAACAGGCACAGTTCTACAGTTAGGCTGTTGCACAATCCGGGCGACCTGCAATGAGAATTTGCACAGGTCTTGCGTTTTAACTGGTGGCTTGTGTTTTATGGATTGGGCTCCCCCAAATAGGCACCAAACTCTGCATTTTGGACCAAAGAGAAACCATGCCATTCTCATGGATTCATGGCTCACAGGTGGAACAAAAAAGATAAACCACAAGGCAATGCAAGTTTGAGTCACCTTAATTATCATACATGTTACATATAACTATAACTTGTAACCAGGTAATTCATTTTTTTTTACTACATATATACTTACTATACATACTTAGCTCAAACCAACCCATCCAAGATTCAAAAGTCAAATCATTGTCATTGTCATAAAAGGCTGGGAAATTTTAAAATTCCCAAAAGGCTGGGAGGAAAAGATAGGATTATGGATTCCCTTAGACATTTTTTTTTCAGATAAGAAAATTTTAAATTCAAAAAAGGCTGGGAGAAGATAGGATTATGGATTCCCTTATTCGTTTTTTTCAAAGAAGAAATTTGAAAATTTAAAAAAAGACTAGGTCTTTTTTATGAATCTCTTAAACGTTTTTTTTCTCAAATAAGAAAATTTGAAACTTCAAAAAAGGCTAGGAGAAGATAGGATTATGGATTCCCTTATTATGCCCTTATTTGTTTTTTTTTCAAATAAGAACTTTGAAAAAAACTAGGATTTTATATGAATCTCTTAAACAATTTTTTTTCCCAAACAAGCAAATTTGAAAATTCCAAAAAGGCTAGGAGAAGATAGGATTATGGATTCCCTTAAACGATTTTTTTAAAATAAGAAAATTTTTAAATTAAAAAAAGGCTAGGGGAAGCTAGGATTATGGATTCCCTTAAACGATTTTTTTTTTTACCTAAGAAAATTTTAAGATTCAAAAAAGGCTGGGAGAAGATATGATTCTGGATTCCCTTATTTGTTTTTTTTTCAAATAAAAAAATAGTTTTTGTTTTTAAATGCTATGGTTTTTTTGTGGCTCTCTTAACCGATTTTTTTTCCTCAAATAAGCAAATTTGAAAATTCAAAAAAGGCTAGGAGAAGATAGGATTGTAGATTCGCTTAAACGATTTTTTTTTCAAATAAGAAAATTTTAAAATTAAAAAAAGCTGGGAAAAGATAGGGTTATGGATTTCCTTAAACATTTTTTTCAGATAAGAAATTTTAAGAATTCAAAACATGCTGGGAGAAGATTGCCTTATTTTTATCAAACAAATATCAAATCAAAATAAGAAAAATGATTCAAAAAAACTGTAAGTAGAATAGAGTCAGAGAGATGGGTATTGTTTTTGTTTATATATTTAAACTAAATTAAATTATTAAAAAAAGGAAAATCCCAAAAACAAATGTAACCAAAACATGAAAACAAAAAAAACAAAAACAACAATAGACACCAGTTTGGAAGCAAATTTGATGAAAGAACCAATGTCAGCCTTGTTTTTTTTGCAGTTGATTGAAGTTGATTGTGTTTTTTTGACCAGAACCTAAAACACAAGCAAAAAGCTTGCTCGTTTTTTTTCAAATAAGCTTATTTGTTTTTTTTTGTGGCTTGTGTCCCCTGGATTTTTTTTTGTGTTTTTGATAAACAAAAAACAAATGTTGGGGGACCGAAATTGATTATAATTGGTTTGCGTCCCCCACAATTTGTTTTTTGTTGACCAAAAACACAAAAAAAACAAAATCCAGGGGACAAGCCACAAAAAAATCAAATAAGCTTATTTGAAAAAAAATCGAATAAGCTTTTTGCTTGTGTTTTAAGTTCTGGTCAAAAAAACACAATCAACTTCAATCAACTGCAAAAAAAACAAGGCTGACATTGGTTCTTTCATCAAATTTGCTTCCAAACTGGTTTCTATTGTTTTCTCTGTTTTTTTTGATTGTTTTCATGTTTTGGTTACATTTTTTTTTGGGATTTTCCTTTTTTTTTAAAAAAAAATAATTTAGTTTAACTATATAAACAAAAACAATACCCATCTCTCTGACTCTATTCTACTTACAGTTTTTTTGAATCATTTTTCTTATTTTGATTTGATATTTGTTTGATAAAAATAAGGCAATCTTCTCCCAGCGTGTTTTGAATTCTTAAATTTTTGTATTTGAACAACATGTTTAAGGAAATCCATAATCCTATCTTCTCCCAGCATTTTTTAATTTTAAAATTTTCTTATTTGAAAGAAAATCGTTTAAGGGAATCTACAATCCTATCTTCTCCTAGCCTTTTTTGAATTTTAAAATTTTCTTATTTGAAAATATTCCGTTTAAGGGAATCTACAATCCTATCTTCTCCTAGCCTTTTTTGAATTTTCAAATTTGCTTATTTGAGGAAAAATCGTTTAAGAGATTCATAAAAAAAGACCTAGGCTTTGGTTAAATTTTCAAATTTCTTATTTGAAAAAAAATCAAATAAGGGAATCCATAACCCTATCTTCTCCCAGCCAGGATGTTAGCACAGGACACGCATGCACCAAAAACAGTGCACGGCGCACAGTGGGAAAAAAAAGGCCAGCAGCATCAATTTGGAAGAACTGGGTTCCATGTGTTTTTTTTCTGTTTTGGAACTTGCGCAATAATAAAACACAAGGGCAAACTTATACCGCAAGCAAAACAGCTACCTGTGAAAATTGACAACCTGCAAGTCACAAGCCGTGATAGCATTGAGCTCCGGAGAGGCCGAATACTACGGACTTGTGTCCGGACTTTGCCAAGCACTTGGAGAACAGTCTCAGCTCCGAGACTGGGGAGTGCATGTTCCCATCATCGGATGTATGGATGCCACGACGGGACTTTCAATTGGAAGCCGTCATGGATTGGGAAAGGTCAAGCACATAGATACCGTATGTCTGTGGGCACAAGATGCCATTTTGACTGGAAATGCAAAGTTGTACAAGAAGAGCACTCAAGAAATGCTCGCGGACCTGTTTACCAAACCCTTAGATTCAGGCCGAAGCAAAATGCTCTTAGACAAATTCAATTACCACTTTAGCGGAGGAAGACATCATTTAGCACTTGACGCATGAAGAACAATGGGGCTGAGCCAGGCTAGGGTAGAAAGACTCAGACATGTACAGTCGCAGCAAATTCTCACTCGCACTCTGTTGAATCAGAGGCACTCCTTCGGGAGGCATGTAGAGATGTAGCGCCTAGTACAGTCATGTCTGTTTGTGCTATGGCATGCATGTTGTATATGTGCCGTAGCCCCTTTTAGATTCTTTGTGAGAAAGACTGAACGACTTCGAGCCCAATAGAGGAAAAGTGATCAGCACGCTGTGTTGGTGCTTACCCACTGCTACTTTAATTTTGCAATTATATTTTTCAAACTTATATTAAACCATATTAAATTAAATTATATTATACTATATATATTATATATTATTATATATATTATATTATATTATATTATAAAAAAGCTAAACTATATTATGTTATATTATATTTTTCTATATTAAATTTAACTCTAATATTTTTTATATGTCATATCATATTTTATGTTTTATGATATTATATGTTTTATATATATATAGTTTTGTTATATTGTGTTATTTGTTATGGTATATTTTGTTATATTATATTTTTATTTTTATGTTATATTATATTGTATCATATTATATTATTATTTTGTATTATATTATATTTTGTTTTATTGTATTATATTTTATAACATTATGTTATATTTTGTTTTAATGTATTATATTTTATTTTTAATATTATGTTATATTGTGTTTTATTATATTATATTTTTATTTTATTATATTATATTATGTTATATTATATTGTATCATATTGTATTTTATTCCCCACCTGCCAGGTGAGGGTTGTTAGATTTTATGTCAGTTGCCTCCTCCTCCTCCTCCTGCCTCGTCCTCCTCTCCTCCTCCTCTCCTCCTCGTCCTCCTCGTCCTCCTTGTCATCCTTGTCGTCCTCTCGTTGTCCTCGTCGTCCTCGTTGTCCTCCTCGTCCTCCTGCTCAACTGCGACTCGCGATCCACAGTGTTCGCTGCCGGAACTCAACCACGACCATCCACGCCCAGTGTTCCCTGCCGGACCTCAACCACGGCCATCCACGCCCAGTGTTCCCTGCCGGACCTCAACCGCGAGTATCCACGCCAAGTGTTCCCTGCCGGACCTCAACCGCGAGTATCCACGCCAAGGGTTCCCTGCCGGACCTCATGTAGGAAGATATGGGACAAAGAATGTGCAGAAGAAAGTTAGAAAGAATGTCAGAAAGAATGTCAGAAGATATGCCAGAAGATATGACAGAAGATATGCCAGATAGAATGCCAGATAATATGCCAGAAGATATGCCAGATAGAATGCCAGAAGATTTGCCAGATAGAATGCCAGAAAATATGCCAGAAGAATGCCAGATAGATATGCCAGAAGATATGCCAGAAGATATGCCAGAAGATATGTCAGAATATATGCCAGAAGATATGTCAGATAGAATGCCAGAAGATATGTCAGAATATATGCCAGAAGATATGCCAGATAGAATGCCAGAAGATATGTCAGATAGAATGCCAGAAGATATGCCAGATAGAATGCCACAAGATTTGCCAGATAGAATGCCAGAAGATATGCCAGATAGAATGCCAGAAGGTATGCCAGATAGAATGTCAGATAGGATGCCAGAAGGTATGCCAGATAGAATGCAGATATGCCAGAACATATGCCAGAAGATATGCCATTTAGAATGCAGATATGCCAGATAGAATGCCAGGTGGAATGTAGGATATTGCCGATAGAATTGCCAGAATATATGCCAGACATATATGTCAGATAGGGAGGTCAGAATAATATACTAAATATATTGTCCAAATACGACGTCCGGACATGTTCATGGGGGGGATCACCGAAGTAGAGTAATTTGTTGTATTTGACTCTATGGTGTTTATTTATATGGTGTTATATTATTTGGGGGAGGGCAGGTGAGAGGAGAGAGAGGAGAGGAGATGAGAGTTAGATTAAGCATATTATAGTAGATGATGTTAATATTTTTTTTTAATTTAGTATATTCTATAATTATTTTTTTTAATTATATTATATTATAATATTAGATTATATTAGATAATAAATGAAATCTTATTTTTTTTAAAAAAAATTCCCCCCCTGCCAGGTAAGGTGTTGTTAATGATTTTACCAGAGCTGGTTGTCTCCTGCTTCCTCCTCCTCCTCCGCCTCCTCCTCCAGTTTCTCCTCGACCATGTCTGCATCAACTTCCACCTCCACTTCCGCCTTGCCAACTCTTCGCCAAGCCCTTCGCCAACTTCCGAGCTCAGTGCGCACTGCTGGACCTCAACCTGGGACCTTCCCAGCTCAGTGCGCACTGCTGGACCTCAACCTGGGACCTTCCTAGCTCAGTGCGCACCGCTGGACCTCAACCTGGGACCTGCCGAGCTTAGTGCGCACCGCTGGACCTCAACCTGGGGCCTTCCGAGCTCAGTGCGCACCGCTGGACCTCAACCTGGGGCCTTCCGAGGTCAGTGCGCACCGCTGGACCCCAACCTGCATGGGACCTGCACCGCTGGACCTCAACCTGGGGCCTTCCGAGCTCAGTGCGCACCGCTGGACCTCAAAAGCCAGATAGAATGCCAGAAGATATGCCAGATAGCATGTCAGATAGAATGCGAGAAGATATGCCATAAGATATGCCAGATAGAGTGCCAGGAGATATGCCAGATAGAATGTTAGAAGATATGCCAGATGCAATGCCAGAAGGTATGCCAGATAGAATGCCAGATTAAATGTCAGAAGGTATGTCAGGTAGAATGCCAAAAGATTTGCCAGTAACAAAATGTAAAAATGTCATGGTGGGGATCACACGAAGTAAAGTAATTATTACATTATATTTAATTATATTATATTATATTATATTTTATTTTATTACATTATATTATATTATATTATATTTTATTTTATTACATTACATTATATTTAATTATATTATATTATATTATATTTTATTTTATTACATTACATTATATTTAATTATATAATATAATATAATATAATATAATATTATATTTAAGTATATTATATTATATTTTATTTTTTTGCATTATATTATTTTTATTATTTAATATTATATTATATAATATAATACTATATTCTACTATATAATATAATAATATATTTTTTGATATCATATAATATTATATTACTATTACTATTTTTTTAAATTAAATTTTATTTTTATTTTGTTATTTACTACACTGTATTATATTAAATTAAATGATATTATATTTTTCAAACTATATTATATTTTTCAACTATATTATATTTTTTTAAACTATATTCTTTTTTTAAACTATATTATATTTTTTAAACTATATTATATTTTTTGAACCTATATTTTATTATATTATTTTTAGATTATATTATATATTTTTTAAATATATATTATATCATTTTATATTATATTATTTAAACTATATTATATTTCTTTGAAACTATATTTTTTTTATTATTTTTATTTTATTTTTTATTTTTTATATTATCGTATATTATATTTTATTTTATTATATTCTATTTTATTATATTGTATTATATTATATTATATTAAATTATGTTATATTATTTTAAATTATATCATATCATATTACAATACAACATGTATAAACAGTCACACTATGTACTTTTAGATGCTGTTTTCAACAAGCGTCCTGTGGTGCAACCTTTTTTTCCAGAGATGGCTGCAACCCGCAATTTGAGGTGCAGTTTCTTCCTTTCTGGACTCCTTGCTGGACTGTGAAGAATACGCAACTTGATACTGCAGTGAAAACGAAGACATGTTTCCTCCACTTCCACCAGGGCTAGACCGACCCATGACTTTCTTTTCTCTATCTCTTCCCTTGGCCTGACTTTGCCTTTGGTCATCTCGGTCGGGTTTGGCCGGACATGACTGAACAGCTGAATCTGGTTGAAGACTCCACAGTTCCAACTCTTTCGCCTGCCCAGGTTCATCAATGTTCCGGAGGAGAATGTGTCCAGCGATGAAGAGTTTTACACACCTTTCAAAAGGTGCAACGAATCCTCACCTGCGGTTCTTCAGGACAGCCATAGTCTTCGGTGTTGCAAAGATCTCTTGGAAATGCCTGTCTACAATGCTGCACTATGCTGCACGAACCTATCCGTAACTAGCCTTTCTCTGTCTCTCCAAGACAGGAGCCGGCGTACGCAGGGACCGAAAGTGTCGCTGATCCTTGGATCAACGAGTGAGCAACGCACTTCGATTCACAAATCAGTTTCTTCTGAATTGGATGCATTTTTGAATATCGATGCATGTAATTTTTGCAGGGCCAAGCAACACTGAAACACCTGCAACTGAGTCATGCTGTCATGGTTGGTTTTCAGAATGGTTTGTAGCCGGTGAGCCAATTACTTGCAAAGGCAATCTCTTGCAATGCTATCAGATTTCGCAAGTATATGCTTACAGAAACCTGACTCCGTCTAAGGAAGAAGGACCTCCAAGGAGCTTGCTTTGTGCCGCCAGAATTTTTCCAAGATGGCCCAGGGTTACCGGACTTTGCACATCGCACCTTTCGCATCCCAAATCACTTTCAGCAGGATGGGAGTTGCCCAAGGACAGTCCTCCAAGGTGGGCTTCCTGCGAGAAACCACACAGTGCAGCACGTTTTTTGTAGCTGACAGGAAGTCGAAGTGCAGAAGAACCCGCCACTTGGATCTGCTTTCTCCACTGCCATTGCTGCCATTGCTGCCTCCCTTGGGTTTGCTTGTGCAGCTGTCAATGAAGAAACTGGTGGAATGGTGAAAAAGACAATTATTGCCAGTTGTTGCTGATCATTCATGATCATGAGTGATGGATGGTCATTGCATATGAAGTCAAACCCAAGGTCGTGTTTGGATGACCTAGAGCCACGACCTGTGATTCAGCCAATGAAGAGTAAGGGCAGCGCAAAGCATCCCGACACCTGTAAGGCGGGGCAAGGATGATGTGCTGGAGAAAGGCCCAACTTAGCATCCACTATAATAGCAATAATAGCAGCTACCTGGAGCATGAACAAAATCCACAAAGCAGATAATTATAGCCATCATAGCATTATAGCATTAGTTTCTGTGGAACTACTCTTACCTTTATGTTTCGACTAAATTGGACAGGGGAATGATACGTTTCTATGACACTGTGCGCCAGGAGTGTGTCTTCTACTTCTTCAGTGCTACTGGATGCACAAAAGGTGCAGATTGCCTCTTCTGTCACGAATTCCACCCAAGGACTGCTCGATGTTACATTTGCTTCGGTTCTAAGGCATTCTGGTGCTCTGGTGCTCGGGCACACTTTTTTTTTTGCCAGGATAAAAGGCAAGAAGAATCGTCGCATCATGCGCGATCTGCGAGCTCGCCACATGGCCAAATTCTAAAATGCACCACATGCCCAAAGGATCCACAGGCACAGCTGTGGTACAGCACCTCCGCACCTTCAGAATTAAAAGCACACAGCTGGTGAGACTATGTGATCTATGTGGCATTCTTGAAATGTTCAAGTGACTCAAGTTTACTCAAGTGACTCAAGTTCCGAATCACACCCTTCACGTCCCTGTGAGGTGAATCTCACGACGATGGTAAGGAAGGCAAGGACGTTTTGAAAGACGTCTGCAAGGAGATCGAAGAGTTGCCACCATCGAAGCCAGAGGCGATCCGAGAGGCGGACCACCCTGGGATGATTGAAACATTTTGTGGAAACACGCATCGGGATACATCGGCTAGAGGTAAATTGTGTTAAGTACCCTTAGGCTCCTCTTAGGTTATATAATAACCAAGCTATTTGCGAGGCTATCATCAAAATAAGAACAAAGCATTTTTAGGTGATTCTTATTTCAGACAGTTTTGTAGCTTAGGTTATTATACTGTAACCTTTTGACAGGTTATTTTAAGATGTTGACATTTGAAACTAGAAACTTAAATGTAAAACATCATAGTATTGAACTGGGTTTGCTTGCTACGTGTTGTGTGTTTTTCAATTATCATGCGCAAATTTACTTTTTATGTTGTTGTTTCAATGTCCCTTTCCATTCTTTGTGTCATGCAAATAGATGTCCAGACATGTTGTGGACAACACAATTTCGGTTTCAAATGTCTTGTCTTCTTGGCTTTCGTGTCCAACTGTTTATGTCCATGTTATGTTTTTCAATTTCTTTGACAAAGGATACAATGCCAATGGTGATATTTCAAGTGTTTCCAAATGTCAGTTTTCATGTGAGTTTCCTTCTCCTTTCCATTTCTATGTCTTGAATTTCATGTTCATTTTTATAGAATGGGCTAGCGCCCGGGTGCCGCCGACCCCCTTTTTTGGCGGGGCTGCGGGGCTTTTGAGGCTTTTAAGGGGTGCCCAAAACATGCCACGTAGCAGTTTCGAAGCCCAATAGAAACAGCTTGTGGGGCCTAGGGAGGTACGATGGCAAAGCAAGCGGGACGCCTTCGCAAGCTGCTGCGGAGGGTTTTGCGGCCTTCGAAAGTTGCTGCGGGCTGCGGGGCTTTTGAGGCTTTTAAGGAGTGCCCAAAACGTGCCACGTAGCAGTTTCGAAGCCCAATAGAAACAGCTTGTGGGGCCTAGGGAGGTACGATGGCAAAGCAAGCGGGACGCCTTCGCAAGCTGCTGCGGAAGGTTTTATGTGGTTCAAAGGCTTTAGAAAGTTGCTGCGGGGCTTTTGAGGCTGCCCAAAACGTGCCACGGAGCAGTTTCGAAGCCCAATAGAAACAGCTTGCGGGGCCTAGGGAGGTACCATGGCAAAGCAGGCGGGACGCCTTCGCAAGCTGCTGCGGAGGGTTTTGCGGCCTTCGAAAGTTGCTGCGGGCTGCGGGGCTTTTGAGGCTTTTAAGGGGTGCCCAAAACGTGCTACGTAGCAGCTCGGGAGGCACCATGGCAAAGCAGGCGGGACGCCTTGGCAAGCTGCTGCGGAGCATTTTGCAGTTCAAAGGCCTTCGAAAGCTGCTGCGGGCTGCGGAGCTTTTGAGGCTTTTAAGGGCCATACCGCGCACCTACGGTGATCCCGGGCGCCGCCCCGCCTAGGCCAAGGCTAGGCAGGGGTCGGCGGATTTCCCATTCCCAATGTCCAATGATTTCTATTTTCTTCAATCGTTCTTTCCAGTTCCACGTCCATTTCCACTTCCATTTCCAAGTGCTCTTTCCATTTCCATTTCCAATTCCCAATTTCCAATGATTTCGGTTTTTGGGAAACGATCTTTCCATTTCCATGTCCATTTCCATGAACATTTGCCAATGTCCAATGATGTCTATTTTCTGAATTTGTTCATCTTTGTCCATGTCCATTTCCATTTCCCAATGTCGAATGAAATTCTATTACCTTAATTCGTTCTTTCCATTTCCATGGCCATTTCAATTTCCCAAAGTCTTTTGATAACCTTAATTCGTTGACGCAGCCCTGACAATGCGACTCGCAAAAACACGCAACACGACACGTCTAAAGTGCTGCGCCTGCCACGCAAAATGACCATGGACACGTCCACAGTGCTGCGCCTGCCACGAAAACTGCAACGCATCTTCTGAAAACATCGCGAAAGTATTGCGCCTGCCACTCCAAACGACTTTCGACACGTGACAATTCGCCTGAATGTCACGAAGTGCCACGCCTGCCACGCGAAACGAAGCAACACGACATGTGCAACCTCCAAAAGCGACCTCTTTTGCAGAACTTACCATAGGCACGGCCATAGTGACCTGGCGCGGACGGTTGCGAACTGTTGCGAACGGTTGCGAACATAAACGCGACGTCGAGTGAACACACCCTCAACCCCCAGACCCCCAGAGTGAAACGGGATCCCTTGCTACGCATTCGGGAAAAGGATAAAACATATATTCGTCAAACAAAAACAACATGACTTAAATTGTTACAACTACAACAACAACAACAACAACAACCAAAAATAGATAAGCAAATAACATTTTTCTAGGTTATCATCTCCAAGGTTAAAATAGCCGAAAACAGTTTTTTAAGGCTATTATAGGCTTAGGGTCTATTTTAGATTTTAGATCCTATTAGTTAATAACCCAAGAGGAGCTTAGCCAAATAACAGCAAATTGGACATGTGTTGAATGAGATAGCAATGAGTACTTGCTGAGCACTGCTACGATTAAATGAAGACTTCTCCAAAAAACACTAGGGGAGGGGATAATGTTTATGATGGCTGCTGGGCAGCTTGTGGAAGCCTGATGCCGGCGAATTTTCTACCAGTATGTGCCCAGCTATGCGGAAAAGTTTCGATTTGCCAGTCCATCAGAGTTTCGTTGGCGCAACGCGAAATTACAGGAGAAGACGGAACTGAAAGCAGAAGAATCCAAAGGCAGGTACTGGAAAGTACATCCGTTTGGTAGGGGGTTGTGTTTTGGAAACGGCCTCTGGCGACTTTCACGGCGCTCCGCACAGGTGCTGCAGTGGAAGCGCACCAACAACTCTCGGTCGGGAGCGATGGCATGCTCCGGGTGACCTACAGTTCCGAGGAGGTGTTCCTGAAAAGTCCCACCGGTGCTGAGTGGTATAGAACAATGATCATCTCTGAGATCTGTGACTTTCAGCAATAAAATTTCATGGTCATAGTGACTTTACTTCATGTCATCATGGTACCAGTGTGGGTTGTGCGTATGGGACAGAAATGGAAAGAGGCTGTGGTGACATGGTGCTGTGACAGGACAGCGAAGCTGACAGCAGCTTGGCTGGTCTCGTAGGATGATCGCTGGGACAGATCGGAGAACTGGACTAAACAGATCTAAACAGTGTAAAACTTGCATGATTATCATGACTCATTCAGAACTCATTCACAACCTATTCCCATTGATTGCTCATGGTTTCTAGGAAGATCAGCTCAAAATGGTATGATTTTCCTTTTCTAGAGGGATTCCTAGTTCGAATTGTATTTAAGAAACCAGTTTCGATACTTAAAAATGACAGTTTGATGTGTGGCTTCTAGAGACATGACCGTCCGAGGTGGTCCCGTTGCGTTGACGCTGATTGCAGGAGTTCGAACTTGCCTCCTCAGCTTGGACACCCCCCAAAAATCGGTGACGATGGACTTTTGAGGGCTGCTCCATTTCCAGACAAACCCATTTGTAATACACCGTGTATATATATATATATACATATATATATATACACATATATCTACTGTACCTTTATACATAGCATACTTGTATACACAGACAGTCACATCCGTACTCTGACATGTTGTTTTTTAGATTTGGTGCTGAGGCCCGAAGGTGATCTATGCGAGTCCGGAAGGGCAACGCTGCCTTGAACCAACACTCGCTTTTGCCGTGCAACCCGCTCTCCCTTCAGGTCCCTTCAGAAGAACTTCAAGTGGATCAAAAGTTGTCCAGTTGTTGTTACTATAAGAAATGGTTGCAATGGAAATTCCTATTAACAAGTATGATTTAGGGTGCCCCCATTTCAGGAAACCTCCATACAGTAGACGGACCAAATATTCAAACCCTGCAACACGCACTATGTTGAACCCCCGCACCCCCAAATCTCAATGTTTCAGCGCGCCGGCTACCAAAAGTGATGTTAGGGGTTTGATTTCTTTCGCCCATTGGGGCTGATGCACTTCAGGTTACATTAACATTGAACTTTGGGGGGTTGTAACAGATAGAAAGGGTTTGAATATTTCGTCCAACTACGGTACCTGCCGCGCACCCCAGTTGGTACTGTCTCGCTCTCTGATGTTTTCACATCTTTTGGTCTCCAAACTCTGTTGTGGAAACATCACTTTGCATGCTGCTGATCTTATTCCAAACTGCGCAAAGCATTGCCTGTTCACAAGTAAATGCCTCCTGTCTGCCTCCCATCCCATGTTTTTTCTATTCCGTAATTCGCAACTTATTCCAAGCTGCACAAAACATTCTGTTTCCACTGGTAAATGCAACCTTTGTGCTTCCCGTCCCATTTTTCTATTCCCTACTTTGCAACTTATTTCAAACTGCAAAAAAAAATGTGTTTTCACAGGTAAATGCTGCATGTGTCTCTCGTCCCATTTTTCCTATTCCCTAACTCACAACTTATTCCTATTCCCTAACTCATGACTAATTCGTTTGACGTGGCCCTGCCAATGGATTATGTCATTTGTGACGTGCTGCTTCCTTTTTAAGAGAAAAGTATCTTTTTACATTAGGAGCCGTCTCATGCTGTTCAAGTTGCAAAGTCCATTGGCAGGGCCACGTCAAACGAATTAGACGTGAGTTAGGGAATAGGAAAAAATGGGACGAGAGAGACATGCAGCGTCTACCTGTGAAAACACAATGTTTTGCGCATTTATTTGGAATAAGTTGTGAATTAGGGAATAGGAAAAAATGGGACGAGAGACACATGCAGCATTTACCTGTGAAAACACATTTTTTTTGCAGTTTGAAATAGGTTGCGAATTAGGGAATAGAAAAATGGGACGGGAAGCACAAAGGTTGCATTTACCAGTGGAAACAGAATGTTTTGTGCAGCTTGGAATAAGTTGCGAATTACGGAATAGAAAAAACATGGGATGGGAGGCAGACAGGAGGCATTTAAAGTGATGTTTCCACAACAGAGTTTGGAGACCAAAAGATGTGAAAACATCAGAGAGCGAGACAGTAGACGGACAACATATTCAGACCTTGCAACAAGGACTATGTTGAACCCGCAGCCCCAAATCTCAATGTTTCAGCGCGCCGGCTCCCAAAAGTGATGTTAAGGGTTTGATTTCTTTCGCCCATTGGGGCTGATGCACTTCGGGTTACATTAACATTGAACTTTGGGGGGTTGTAACAGATAGAAAGGGTTTGAATATTTCGTCCATCTACGGTATGTCAACAAATGTTACCAAGTAGCCTCTTGACAAGATTCGCATAGATGTGCACGGTTGAGCTCTGTGTTGCACTGGGTGCGTAGGCTTGACCTTGGATGCCACGACTGGAATCATCAGCGGAACACCTGAAAACATATCTTCGAAGGCACTGTTCCAAGTCATTGCCAATCTGCTTTGCTGTAACTTTGCCATCTCTTTAACAGCAACAACATGCCCATTAACATCCCATTTGTCAAGCTGCCATGGTGGCCATTGGGCCCACCTCAAGGCCGGGGTGCATATTGTCACAGTCAAAGTTCCTGAGCCTTGGCGATGCGAGAGTCGCGACATCCTCCATGGAAGTCCCATGGCGAAACGATGGCTAACCATGGGGAACCAAGGCACAGGGCTATGGCGGTATTGCACTTGGACATGTACCTTTGACTAGCTGCGAACTCTTCGTCACGGCAACTTGGTAGCAAAATTGTTTCCGTTGCTCCAAGTGGATGCATACACACCCCTCTTCTGTGTTGCTGGCAAGGTGCGGCCTCTACAGGATTTTACGATGATGAAACCCGCCGGTTCAGAAGTTGTACTGGTTTCAGGACGCTAGACTGTTTGGCGACCCCCAGACAGCTTTGTGCCCTTGCAGTACTGCGAATGGGCTGACTGCTGTAATACTTCAATACTTCGCAGTAAGTGCAGTTGTGTTTCTCTATATTTGCTCACTGAAGGGGCTCTCAATTGCTCTGTTTCAGCCTCTGGCAAACCCGCTTGTTTCGGATTTGCTGATGCTTTCCTGGTGTGGAATTTGTCAATGCTTTCCAGCGGCAATGTGCAAGTCCCGTAGACCACATGAATGGGTCGTCGAAACTTCGAACAGGCATTTGGAAACAGTGGTATTGTTTTCTCACTTCTTGAAGATGTGCTAGTTTGCTCGACAAGCATTGTGATCGAAATATGACTGATCGATGCATTTTGCGACCCATCATTTGCCTGCTCTGAGTTGTTGATTGTTCCTTCCCGAACAATCTCCGAGTTGTCGACTGCTCAGACCACAGGGCTGCCGCAGCATGTCTAGATGAAAAGCACCCTTCGGGTTTCATCGATCTGCCACAGAGACCTCAGAGTGGTGAGAGGTCACCGCTCGACTCGTCGGCAGGTTTCGACTCGTCCTGACTTCTTGCTCTATGAAATAAAGCAGGTCTCCGCGTTAACTGTTCTGCTGCATTTCCACGGTGGCTTTTTGGGATGGATTCCGCAAATCCGCACAGTTGGAGGTATTTATTTACATATAGCAATGATATTTATGAATTTATGCATACATTTACACACAATCTATGATATTCTTTAATATATGTGAAGATATGTATATATATATGTATATACACGGAATTATATATACAGCATGTAATTAATACACACGCATATATGTAGCATGTAATACATATACATATATATTTATGTATAGTTAGACATATCATATCTACAATCATATATAGACAGTATGTGGACCTGTGTTTTCACTATCAATGTTCACGCTCCTCGTATCTTTATAGTACAACTACTGTTCAAACCCACCCACCCAACAACTAGAGGTTGGAACACTCCTTGGTCTGGAAACAGAGACAAGAACTCTGAAAGCTCGTTGCCCATACGTGTTTCCATTTGTGTACGGAGACATTGATATTTTTATTATTATGTCGATTTATTTACTGAGGTACATACTTGTATAATCAATATACATATGTATATATATATATATACACATTTGATATCATATTATATTTACGTACATGTAGCTTCGTGCTAGAATAGTACACACAGACAAACCCACACATATGATATATTATTGTATTTGTACATGCAGTCATGATATTAAAAACGATACATGTTCACATCCGTATGAATATATAAACTTTGATAGGTGCATACATGGTTTTCAACATGTCTTTTCTGTGTCTACATGTCCCCCTGCAAAGATGTGTGCAGTGTGCATCAACTTATACTGATGCATTTATATTTTTAAGGACACACCTGCATGTATATATACATATATGTATATATACACATCATACAAGTTATACATTTACATAATTTTACACATACTACTTGCAGAAAGTCCACGCCATTCCACGTGTGAAGCGACACATCCATCTGTTGGCCATGGTGTCGATGGTGCAGCCTGGTTCCCTGCGAACATAAGCAGTGTCTCAGCCGCTGAATGTGGCTCAATCTGCCAGTACATTTTTGAAGCCGCCACAATATGTGCCTTGAAGTTCCAGCTGGTTGGTTCTGGGTTTCAACTGACTTGTGAGTATCCATTTGTATTCATCCACTTTCAGAATGGTAAGACTATGATCTCAACCGAATTTGTGCCCCCAGGTTGCAGTTTCAGACTGGTTGCGACGGCATCAAGGTGTTCCAACGATTCTCATTGATTGAATCAATAGGGGCATTTTGAGTATTCTCAACGATTCTCATGCTATTTCCTAACATTTCTTTGATATCGCTGGTTGTCCAGACTTTGGCTCCAATTCCTGGTCTTCGAGGCTTGCGCTTGTTGTGCTGTGTTGTGGCCGAGCTCCGATTCTCGAAGAATATCCGATGTCCATCGGCTCCCACGGAACTTGGGAGGATCCATGATATCCAACTTTCAGTCTTTATCAAGTGGCAAATGTGAATAAATTGAACAAATCATCCCTCCAAGTGGTGATTGGATCCATGTGCTTCTGTCTTGGGATGCGCTAAACACTGCCTCGTATCTTGAAGATTCTTTCGCTCGGCGATCTGTCCAAGTGTCGGTCCAATTGGCGAATCGGTCCGGACCGCACAGGAAAGAATGCTCAATCCAGAGAGACTGTCAAGACTTAAACTCCCAACTCTTGTCAGTTAAATCATGTCAACTCAGGTGTTGGTAAGTGTACTATAGTGTACTGATTTTTCACATGATCCAACAAAACAAGTTCAAAAACGCGAAACACCGGACATTTCCCAATCGCTGTTTTGATAGAAATTCCGGATATGGATAAGACATGGTCATCCCATTCTGGAAATCCATTCCGGTGGAGTCACTGGAGATTTACATCTAGGGAAGACATTCCCATCGGGTCCAATCCAACTATTCCACCCAAGAATAGTTGGTGAACATCCCAACTTGCACTGAAATTTCCACAGGATGAGTAAAGCAGCTATTGATGTACCCCCGTGTACCCCAAACAGAAACCTGGTGAAACCAGACTTACTAATCACTTGGGTTTCCTGGGATATAGGACCCCAAGTCATGAACAACCAGAGTTTCTGGAGAGGTGTTTATAGGACCAATCCACCGACCAAGTGTGACTGATGGTTCCGAAGAAATCTCAAGGCTATCATATCATCCTGTCAATTGAGAAAACACAGTCATCTATGAATCAATGAATGTAGCTTTGACAAACTTTGGGCTCCACATGCGCAGTGGTTATTTTCAGCGACCTCGTCATGGCAACCCTCCGATACTTCAACACCTTCATTGATGAGGAACCAATTGGGAATCTCCTTGAATCTTGTTCCAAGAGCTGGCCACAATTTGGTGGCACGGGACATTGGGTTTCTGCCTTGTCGGTTCGGTTCCACTACGGGTCGGTTCCTCGACGGTTCGGTTCCACCACTTTCCGGTTCGGTTTCTGGGACGAAACAGAGATCGAAACATAGATCGAATGAGAACAACACAGCATTCCTAACATAGTAATATATACACAATTATACAAATATAAATCACATAATCACCAGTATCAGCCGAGATTTAAGCACCTGATAGACTGAGCTGACCAAGCTCGCCTGTAAGGTCAACACAGAGAGGTGAAGAGACAAATTAAGAGGACACAATTTGTCGCCCACGAATCGGTGCGAAGTGCTCTTTGGCCCAATGACGGATTGGTGCGTCGGAGTGCGAGGTCCCGATGGCTATATCTACTGCCCAGACCTTGGAGAAGTGAAACAATATCTCACGGCATCTCAAACGCCCATGTATTGTATGTATATCATGATCAATCATGATCATGTTGAAATCATTACAGTTAGAAAGTTAGATGTATAAACAAATTGGAAGGTGAGGTGGAAATTGAGGGTTGTATTTCTACTGAAAAATGGCATTTTGGACGTAGTCCTCTAAGGTATACCGGACACTGCCACAGAGGCGAGAATGGCGTCAGGAAACATCCGGCAATTGGCGAAGGGTTGCCACTTGTTGTCATTGGAAGGCCGAGAAAATTGGGAAAGTAGGAATGAAAAGAGCAGCCACCGGAGGATGAAATGTTCGTTTGTGTCCGTGTTTTGCCTTCTTTTGCCTGCTCGGGAGGTACTAAGATATGATCCAAAGACCCGAACAACGTCGAGATTCGGATCAGATCTGATTGATGTCCCGATCCCATTTGAATCCAAGCATCCAACATACTCTGAGTTCTTCGCAGCTTTGCGGCTTTGGGCGTTGTTGCCGCTTCTGACTGAGGTGGGGATCCACAAGTGCCTCAGCTGAACGTTAGAATCAAATTGCCAACGTTAAGATCCAAATTGCCAATGTTCGCCAGAATTCCGTGCGACAGGTGGTCCGGAGGTGTGCTTGCACCTGATGGCAAGATCTACTGCGCTGCAGTCTTAGGACTGAGGCCAAGTGGACCATCAAATGGCCAAGAGACAGCACGGCATGTGCTAAAGATGGCCAAGTGCGGCAGAAGTGTCAGCATTTTCCGAGACACGCCATTTCTTGAGGTTCCGTGGACCCATCCGCAGGCGCACCCACTGACAAGATTGGACAGTGTTGTACGACATCGTACACATGTTGTGCACCAATCTTGAGACCGATGAGACCCTGCAGGTATTGGTGATCGATCCAAGCAGCTCGACAGTGCCTAAGATGCAATGGTGACAATGGCGACAATGGTGACATCTGATTCTGTCCCAACTTGGCCTGTGACCTGTGACCTGTGATCCTGGCGATCACTCTGTGGCTTGAACATGTCACGTTCTCCAAATTTGCCAAAGATGTAGTCACGTTTGGCACGTTTGTCAGGTTTGTCACGTTTGTCACGCTGCTGAGGTTTCATTTCTAGAGACTTCTAGCGGCACAGGATGTGCAGCTGCTTCGATGGCGGAACACAAATGGTCGACATCTCAGCGCAGGTTCCTGTCAATGCTGACCTGTCAATACTTTGTGATCTCTTTGTGCGCATTGAACCTGGAGATTTCAATACTTTGTGCGCAAATTTCAGCTACTTTGAGGCGAGATTGCGTGTTGTCGCCCATTGATGGCTGTGAGGAGCCTCAGATGGAAGCTGTGACGATGACCAGCTGATGATCAGCTGGGCATGGCCCAAAGATGGGGTACCAATGGAATCCAATGGACCCCAAACCCAAGCCGTCATGTTTCAGGTTGCAATAGTTTCAACATGTTTCAACATGTTTCAACATGTTTCGAGCCATACCTAGCCAGTTGCTGAGGCATTTACTGCGTTCCCTGGACAGCAGAGGCGGTGCTGTGCATTGACATCAAGGCAGTCAAGGGGCGAAATTACACAGAAAATTGACTTGTCATCTTAGGATATCCTTGATTGCGTGAAATTGCCTGGTCACATATCCTTGACACAAGTGGCTGAAGTCTTCCACCTAGAAAATCAAGGATATCCGAAGCGATAGAGTGCGATAGGAGCCATGCAGGTGATTTTTGGAACATTCCAAGGTCAATTTGACCCATTGTCGTTCTCGTCGAAGCGGAATGAAGTGATTTGAACATTTTGAACCATCTCCAAACATTGTTGAGTGTAATGAGCCCATTCACATCTCCAAAACTCCATCCCCATCTGATTTTCAGTTGAAACTCACCTCTGATCATAAAATAATTAACATCACACATTTGTTTTTCTAACACCTTGATTAAAGGAGATGAAATTGAGCTTTTGGGTCTGAAAGGTGGTTTTTTCCGACTGTGTTTTTCATGATTTTGTATCTCCAAAATCTCCAACCAATGTTGTGAACATGTCACTTTTACCTTCGCACTTTTCCCGACCCAGGAGGTTACATGATGTTACATGGTAATTTGATGTAATTTGGCGCCCAGGAGGTTTTGTTCGTACAGGCATTTTCCTCGCGGTAAACAAATCTTACTTTTTGGATCTGGGCAAAAGCATAGATTTTGAACGGTGGCTGAAATGTTTAGCGAACAGCATGAAACAAGCTGGGCCATCTCGTTGTTCACTGTGTCACCTGAGTGTTCATAATTTTCATCTGTGCTATGGGCATCTATGGGCATCTATGGGCTACAATGGCTACCGGCCATCTTTGGGCCATGACCTGGGTTGAGGCTGGCAGCGCTTGGTGCTTCGGAGAGCTGCCGCCAGGCTGAAAATCGTGGCAGAACACACGCTTCATTGTCGTGGCACGCTGGCACGCTTCGGTGCTCAGACAAAACGTAACCTGGCAGGCGAAAGCAAATGGGCAGGCGCACAGGGCGTGCAGGGCGCGCCGGGGGTGGAAGTTTTTTGATGTCCAGTTGTACTAAATTTGATCTTGCACTTTTGGCAGATGTTGGCAGGTTCAGATTTCTCTAATCAGCAACAATCAGCAACTGTGTAAGGTGCTGCGATCGGAAGCGATGGTCGTATCTATTGTTTCAGTCTCAGGGTCTCAACAATAAGCAGGAGAGTGCACTCACAGCATTCACAACTTTTGGTGCGATGTCGTTTTGCCATGTCTTGCCCAAAATGTGTTTGAGTCTTCCTAAGGTGCACCTTACGATTCTCCCAGCGTTCTGTGCATCTCGCCACAAGAGCGCGTTGCAAAGCGCACCTGGCAACTTTGTGCTTGTGCTAGTTCTTCTGTCGCAGCTGCCACAGCTCTTCCGTGTTTTGTGAAATTTTGTGACATGGTGCCCTTTAGAAACTTTCACCTCACTGGCGGACAAAGGTCAGATCCTTGCTGCATGCATTCATAGCTCTCTTGAAAAACAAGAAAAGAAGCATGAGAAAATATGAGAAACATGGAGACAGTGCGAGACATTGAGAGACTAGAAATGCATGACATGGGCAGATTTCCTGCTTGCCGGATGGCGGATGGTTCTGCCTGTGAGCCAGGCCATTGGGAGACTTCGGGCCCTCGCGTCGAAAGTGGCTTGGGACTTATTTTTTCCGTGGCTTGGGCCTGCAGTCTCCATTTGTCGGTACAAAAACGGTATGAAATGAGAGGAAAACTGGATGACAAAGTTGACATTGACAAAAACGACATAAATTCAAAGTTTGGATGGGTCGGGAGATTCTTGATCGAGGCGTGGGGCAATTGCTGCCAACAATGGCTGGATCTACATGGTGCTTGAGTTGCACCAAGACCGTCGCCATCACGCAAAATCTACAGAACTCTTCCAAACGTTGATGAAAGTCCGTTGCAGCCGTCGTCTATACTCTATACCCGTACTATACCACCCTTTATGGCCGTGAAGCAAGGAATGTAGTGATTGACTGGATTTGGGGAAGAGCCTATACCGCCTATACCCCAGTGACAAACCCATATCACTTGCTGTGCTACTTTAGGTGCCGTGCAATGCCCTGGAAGTGCTGGCGGTGAATCCAAGCAAGGTGTCTTGGACATTTAAATTGCTTTCCAGATCTGTCCGTGGAGTGGGCTACAGGCTATAGATGGCAAAAGTATCAGTGGCTATTTCAACTCGAACCCTTGCAGTATAGGGGGTGATGTCGAATGGCGATAGCGCATGTTTTGCTCATTTCCTGAAGGCATGTTTGAATTTCAAATATTTTCAAACACTCCAATACCTGTGGCCTCAGCAGGTGATTTTCTCCGAGACGATCCCGAAGCCAGAGGCGAAAACGGCTGAGATCGAAGACAGAAATGTTGATAGATCCGCAATTGTTGGGTTTCAAGGGAGTTGAATGGTACATGCATCATCATTAATCATCAATGGTGTGCATGAATCACCACAAGCATCTCAGCTCATAAATCATCATCCAAAAGGTCCAAAACATTCACAAAATCGATTTTTTGTGCAGAAACTCTGCTGGAAACCCCGAGGCGCTGTCGGATCTGGGCGTGGCCAAAGCCGCCGCCCGGCACCTGGCGCTGCGCGGCGTGGACGCGGACGATGCGGACGAAGAGGACCTCACGGAGGAAGCCGACGGCAGATTGGAGGAGGTCGACAGATCTGTGTGAGACTTCTGCACTTCTGCACTTCGAATCCAAATGCTACTCACATATATATTATATCATATATTTAAGAATGTATTCGAATGGGCATTGAACATGCATTTTTCAACCAACCATCAGAAAGGTGGGATTTTAAACTATCAAAGAGACGGATGATATCATCGAATGTCGGGGGGTTCTGTCATCAAACATGGGGGTTAGACCATGGGGTAGACACATGGAAAATGGTGGTTTCACTCAACAAATTGGGTAAGGGATGGGAGCATTGGGAGCGGAATGGATCATGGAATGAGTTTTGGGTGCCATGGGGTACGGTGTATTCCCATAATTTCCCATATATATACCACATTTTTACCAATGAAAGGCTGAAGAATATGAAAGTTCGATGCGGAGATGCGAATCATATTTTGGAACGACCCCATGAACTGGATAGTGGAGAACTGATATCAGGAAAAGTTGAAGGCAGAAACAGTTGATGAAAACTACAGAAACAGTTGATGAAGGCAATGCAGAAAAAAAGACAGTTGAACGGCTTGAGCTTGAGCGCTTTCCGCGGAGTTCCCCTTGCCCTTTGAATTTCCAGCCAGGATCCGAAACTACCACCAGGTTTCCTGAAAATTGGATACTTCGCTGCAAGATTGGCCATTTTGACAAATTTTGACAAATCAACTTAGATGCAATGTTTTGATTTGCTTACGCTTCTACTCCTCCACTACCTAGGATGGGTTGGAGGTATTCGCGACGGACTGAA